TGCACTGAAAAACAAGGAACTCATGAATTATTAAACAGAATGGGTGACCCTGGAGGATGTTATGCTGAGTGAAATATCTCAGTTACAAAAGGACAAATACTACATAATGTCACTGTTGTAAAGTGGGACTGACATCGGGGTTGGGGGGGGAAACTAAGAGGGGATAAATAATGTATACTGCATTGAAACAGATGAGGGAGAGAACTGTTTAGGAGTAATATACGACTAGGTATTATTGGCATGACAAGAGTCCAGAATGAAAGCTGCATAGTGGAGTGGACTGGGGCAGGGAGAGGGGGATTGCATAACAATGAAAGAATTTTTTTTACTTACTTTTCAAAGAGAAAAGCAAACTGGGGGGTGGGCAGGAAGGAAATAATGAATGAGTGGACATTAAAAAATTATAAATAACATCCATTCTTTTAAAAAATATTTTATTTATTTATTTACTTGTTGTGTACCATCAAATCAGATCCAACTGGCACAGGAGGAAGTTGCCCCTCCTTCACCAGTGGAGCATCTGGTGGATTCGAACCACATGCCCTCAGTACTGCAGTGCAGCTTCTTGCCACTAGGCCATCAGAGCTCAAAAAACCCCTTCCCTTTTAAGGACTCTTTATGGTTTGCTGATGTCTTTGTCTTGTTACCATCTTATCACAACTCTTATATATGCATTATCATCTCCTTTCCACTAAAAAACTCAGAGAAGTGTCAGGTCTTTGTAGAAGAGGGGAATTACATGATTTTGTTATTTTTCCCTGTCATGTGAATACAAAACAAAACCATTTCTAATTATTGTTAGGTACCACTGAGTTGACTACAACATACAGAGACTCTATGAACAACAGATCTGAACATTGCCCTGTCCTGCATCATCCACTTGTTCGAGCCATGTTGCAGTCACTGTGCTAATTAATCTTTTGAGTTTCATCATTCCTTTCACTGACCCTTTAACTTTCCCAGCATGATGTCTTTTCCCAAGGAATGATCTCTCTTGGCAACATGGTAAGTGTATGTGAAACAAAGTTTCATCATTCTTTTTTTGTTCATTCATTCTTGCCTTTTCGCCCTCCCTCTTCTTCTCCTGCCCTGTCTACTTTGCAATGCTCCTTTTGTTCCAGATTGTTATCAAACATATAATGCCTAAACATATATTACTTTCAGACAGTTCTCCACATCTGTTCCAATGCAATGTTCTTTATCTCTCCACTCTTCCTATTCTCCTCCCAAATCCCCCTATCAGTCATGTTTTGTAACAATGGTGTTGTTCAGTATTTGTCCTTTTGTGACTGAGATATTTCACTTAGCCTAATTTCGTCCAGGCTCACCCATATTGTGTAATGTTTTATGAGATCATTGTTTTAATTGCTGTATAATATTCTTTTGTGTTCTAATGAATGGATATTTTCTGTCCATTCATTTGTTGATGCACACTTGGGTCATTTCTCTTTACTATTGTGAATTAGACAGCAATAAACATGGGTGTATATACATGTGTTTGAGTCATGGCTCTGGTTTCTTTACTGTATATCCCAGTAGTGGAATTGCTGAATCAAATGGTATTTCTATTTACAACTTTTTGAGAAAGCACCAGACCACCTTCCATAGTGGTTGTACCATTTTACATTTCCACCAGCAGTGAATAGGAGTTCCAATCTCTCTACAACCTCACCAGCATTTGTTGCTTGTTACCCTGTTAAACTTTGCTATTTTTTTTTCTGGGGTGAGATGATATCTCATAGTTGTTTTGTTTTGCAGCTCTTTGATAGCTAGGGATTTTTGCCATCTGAATGTTGTCTTTGGTGAAGTATCTATTTATATCCTTTGCCCATTTTATGATTGTGTTGTTTATCTTTTTCTTGTTGAGGTGTTGGAGTATTCTATAAACTTTAGGTAGTTTTATCATTCTTGCCTCTAAGGAGCTTGCTGATTGCATAGCCTCTTGTACAGATTTGTTTCAGTCCTTTGGCAGTCCGTGAGATATTTTGCCAACATCACAATCCAAAAACACTCATTCTTCTTCTGACAGCCTTATTCTTGTCCAAATTTCGGATGCATAGGAAGCAATTTAAAAAAAAAAAACACCCATGGTATGGATAAGGGACACCTTAATCTTTAAACTAATATCCTTGTTCTTTAACACTTTGGAATAGTACTTGTCAGCAGATTTTCCCAATGTAACATGTCTCTCTCTCTTTTTTTTTATTGTTAAAGTATTTTAATTTAGAAATAGAAAAAAATCTGGGAAAAAAAACAAAAAATGTGGTAAATTTTTACTCCATGAGTTTCTTAAATCCTTAATTGTTCATCAATTCTCACAAAGGGGAAAAACAAAAACAAGACAAACACCACTCTTCCAAAAGGAAGGAATTCAGCCGCCAACAGTGATGTTATTAATAGGGATATGTATCAATTTCACAAAGAAACCAATGAAACCCATTATAGCGAAGGCTATTGCTGTTGTGACGGCAATCTTCTGAAATTCTTTTCTATCAGGTTTGGTGCATCTTTTAACTAGTCGAATTGAATCCTTCACAAACTGCCAACTTGGTTCAACAAACTGCATTACTGCATGATTGACTGTTCTTAACACTTCCTCCTCGATCACTAGAGACACGTAGCACAGCCACGCAACATGTCTCTTAATGTCTTGAGTGCTGGTACCATGAGTGTTGATTGTGGATCCAAATAAAATGAAGTTGTTTGGCAACTTCAATCTTTTCTCCATCTGTCATGATGTTGCTAATTGGTTCAGTGGTGAGAATTTTTGTTTTCTTGCTTTTGAGGTGTAATCCATATTGAAGGCTATAGTCTTTGATCTTCTACAACAAGTTCAAGTCTTCACTTTCAGCAAGCAAGGTTGTGTCCCCTGCATACTGCAGATTGTTGAACCTTCCTCCAATCCTGATGCCACTTTCTTCTTCACTAGTCTACCTTCTTAGATGATCTGTTGGAACGAGTTCATGCAGATTGAATAGATGTAGAGAAAAGATACAACCCTGATGTACCTTTCCTGATTTTAAACTTTGCAGTGTTCCCTTGTGTTGTTGGGACAACTGTTTTTTGTTCTATGTATATGTTTCAGATATGCACAATGAAATGCTCCTATTATTCTTAGTTTTGGCCATAATTTTTTAAGATCCACACAGTCTAATGCCTTTGCATAGTCAATAAAACACAAGTAAATATCTTCCTGGTATTCTCTACTTTTAGCCAAGCATGTTTTTCCCTTTTGGTTTTCTAACAGCAGTTCTTCACACATCCCAATGTAATGCTTTGCACTGTTTTCTTGAGCTACCCTTTTAAAACTTCCATTCAGCTCTCTTACGTCAGCATTTCTTCCCCTTGTTTTGGCTCCTCTAATTTCTAGTGCAAGTTTCAGAGTCTCTTCTAACATCCATTTTGATTTTTTTCTTTCTTGTCTGTAATGACTTTTTGCTTTCTTTATTGATGATGTCTTTGATGTTATCCCACAACTTATCTGGTCTTATAGCATTAGTGTTCAATGCATCAAATCTATCATTTTTTAGTTGTTTTTTTTTTTTTTTACTTCAGGGATTTTTTTTTTTTTTAGTTTTTTTGTGTGTGTACTATTGAATTGAATCTGACTGGCACAGGAGGAGATTGCCGCTCCTTCTCCAGGTGGATTCAAACTGTGCACCCTCAGGATTGTAGCATCAAATCTATTCTTGAACTGGTTTTTAAATTTCAACCAGAATAGACACAAGGTCATATTTTGGCTTTTGTGAACTTGTTTTCCTTCTCCCTACCTTCAACTTGAATGAGCTGTAGGGAACACTAAGGCACAGAGAGTTTAAGTAACTTGTTAAAGGTCACACAGCTAGTAAGATAGGATTATGATTCAAATCCACACAGAATAACACTTATGTTTATGCTTTTTACCTCTACAAGGTAAATGTATCATTGTTTTATGAGAGCTTTGGTGGTACCTAAGTGATAACTATAAGGTCAGTAGTTCAAACCTACCAGTTGTTCATAGGAGAAATGATCTGATAATATTCTGTAAAGATTCAAAAGCTCTCCCATGAAGTCAAAACTGACTAACTGACTCTCCAGCGGGTTTTCAGAGGCTTTAGATCATGTGGGAGGAGACAGCCCAACTTTCTCCTTTAGAGCCATTGGTGGATTGGAACCACCAGAAAGGTTCCCCCTTTGAGGCAGCAGCACAACCCTCTGTGGACTGTGCCAGCCCAGGAAAGCCTACGGGACAGTGCTGCTTTGTCACAGACTCACTCTCGATTAGAATAGACTTGAACACACAGAGCCTCATTAATTTTAGTTTCTTTAGTTATTGAAGAGGTTACATTTTTTTCATATTTTTATAAATTGCTTTTATTATATGAATTACCTATTCATACCTTTTGTTTATTTCTTTTTCCCTTGTGAGTAAGTTTGTTTGGTTTGGGTTTTTTTTCCTTTTGGCTATTATCAATGTTTTGTTTCTGGGAAAATGTTAAAGCCCAATAAGCTTTGGTAGCCTAGTGGTAAGAAGCTGCATCGTAGTCCCAAAGGCATACAGTTCATATCCACCATCTGGTCTTTGGGAGAAGAATGGGCAATCTCCTCCCGTGCAATTTCCTGCCTCTGAAAACCTACTGGAGAGTCAGCTGTGAGTCACTTCTGACTCAACAGCACATGACGACGACAAGAACAACAACAACATAGTTAACTTTCTTGGTGCTTTCTAAAGATAAGGTCATGGCGATTCATGCTGCTGACCAGGCCCTGCCAACTTCTCCAGTCTCTGCTCAGGAAATCACCACCGAGAACACCATGCCCTACTCATACCCAATGCTGACCCCAGAGCAGAAGAAGGAGCTCTCTGACATCGCTCATTGCATCGTTACTCCGGGCAAAGCCATCTGGCTGTAGATGAGTCCACTGGAAGCATTGCCAAGTGCCTGCAGTCCATTGGAACTGAGAATGCTGGGGAGAACTGGTGCTTTTACCGCCAACTCCTGCAGACTGCAGACGACCGCATGAACCCCTGCATTGGGGTAGTTACCCTCTTCCATGAGATCCCCTACCAGAAGGCGGATGATGGGCGTCCCTTCCCCCAAGTCATAAAATCTAAAGCTGGTGGTGTGGGCATCAAGGCAGACAAGGACGTGGTACCTTTGGCAGGAATCAATGGCAAGACCACCACCCAAGGGCTGGATGGGTTGTCTGAGCGCTGTTACCAGTATAAGAAGGATGGAGCTGACTTTGCCAAGTGGCGCTATGTGCTAAAGATTGGAGAGCACACCCCCTCAGCCCTTGCCATCATGGAAAATGGCAACGTACTGGCCCGTTATGCCAGCGTCTGCCAGCAGAATGGGATTGTGCCTATTGTGGAGCCTGAGATCCTCCCTGATGGTGACCATGACCTGAAGCGCTGTCAGTATGTAACTGAGAAGGTGCAGGCTGCCGTCTACAAGGCTCTGAGTGACCACCACATCTATTTAGAAGGCACTTTGCTGAAGCTTAATATGGTAACCCTAGGCGACTCCTGCACACAGAAGTTTTCTCATGAGGAGAGTGCCATGGCAACTGTTAAAGCACTGCGTTGCACAGTGCCCCCCGCTGTTACTGGGATCACCTTGGAGAACATTAATAAACTTTTCACAAAACGTATATCGTCAAATTATGTGTAGTCTGAAGCTGAAATAGATGGTAATTTTGATCTTTCTTACTGTTCTGTGATGTTCTTCTTTGGTGACTGATAAATTTCTTTTTTTGTTCATTTTTCAGACTTGGAGATTCAGGTAGCAAAACTCAATCAGGACACTTCTGAACCAGCAGAACAATGTGGTACATCACCGGAAAGAGCCAACAAAAGTATTTATCATACTCCCAGTTGGGGATGAAACTGGCAGAGGGACCTTGAGTTAGAAGGGCAACATGGACTCCTTCCAGGAGAGAGCAGCAACCCTTTTCCCAGGAGAGGGATTTAAGCCAACTCTTGGACAGCTATGTAGGAAAGAAGTCTGCGTATACAGAATGTGGGAAAGGCTTTAATCGGAGCTCCTATCTCATAAGACAGGTGAGAGGCCATATAAATGCATCGAGTGTGGGAAAGGCTTCAAACAAAGTTCAGACCTTGTCACGCACTGGCGAATACACACAGGAGAGAAACCCTACAAAGGCAGTGGCTGTGAGAAAAAATTCAGCGACAGCTCAACCCTTATCAAACATGAGAGAACCCACACAGGTGAGAGACCCCACGAGTGCTCCGAGCGTGGGGAGACTTTTGGGTGGAAGCCTCACGTCATAATGCACCAAAGAACCCACACGGGAGAGAGGCCCTACACATGCCTGCAATGCCATAAAAGCTTCAGTCAGAGCTCACATGTCATAACCCACCAGAGGACCCACACAGGAGTGAAGCCGTACAGGTGTGAAGACTGTGGAGAGCCCTTTAGCCGGAGTTCAGATCTGATTAAGCACCGACGCACTCACACAGGAGAATGGCCCTTTCAGTACCTGCCGTGTGGAAAGGCCTTTAGGGAGAGCTCTCATTGCGTAGCTCACTCACATGAGCACTCTCGCAGGAGAAAGACCTCTGTCCCGACTGCCACAAACGTTTGAGCCAGAGCTCACATCTGCTCACACACCAGAGCACACACACCGGCGAGCGGCCGTTTAAGTGCGATGACTGTGGGAAAGGATTCGCCGACAGCTCTGCCCTCGTTAAGCACAAGCGGACCCACACAGGAGAAAGACCCTATAAATGTGACGAATGTGGGAAGAGCTTCAACCAGAGCTCCCACTTCATTACTCACCAACGAATCCATTTAGGAGACAGACCCTATCAATGTCCTGAGTGTGGCAAAACCTTTAACCAGCATTCCCATTTTCTCACCTACCGGAGAACACATAAAGGGGAAAAGCCTTTTCACTGTAGTGGGTGTGACAAGAGCTTCCGTCAGAAAGCACATCTTTTATGTCATCAAAACACCCATTTAACTTAGGAAATGGTCTTCAGGGCTTCTGCTGTCTCCTCCCAGCTTTGGTGGTGTCTCTTAAGTAACTGAGCCTGGGCGTCAGTTGGCACTGGTTTCCTCTCCCTTTTCTGTCATAATGGAGTGAGTATGCCTATAGTGTCCACTGAATGGTCTGAACACAATAGGCTTCCCTCCAGAGTTTCTGTCTGGCTTCTGGGGAAATGCGAGTTTAATGGTTGATGGCTGGTTATGAAAAGAAAAGTGAGATAAATGTGCATGGTGGCTGGCACGCAGCAGGTACTCAATAAATGATCACATTGTTTGGAACGTTTGACTGTAGTCTGGGTGAACGTTTACAGAGGAAATTGGTCCTCCATTCAACTGGCAAGTGCACGTTTTGTTTCTGACAGTGGCAGTTAACTCAGTGTGGCAGCACTCTCCCCACTTCCTCCCGAGTACCCCGTTTCCATTTGCCTGTATTTCCTGCTCTCCCCCACACCCCCAGCCTACTCAACCTTGTTTTGAAGCAAATGCTGCCCTTTTTTTGTCTCATATGTCTGATTATTTTGAGGAACATGTTCACAATGGGTATTGTGTATTGTGTAAACCTGCCTATTGTGTGACTGAAAGATGGTCTCCAGAAATTGTCATTTTGAGGTTTGAAAGGTGTCTAAGGGCCATCATTTCATGATTCTACCAGTCCCTAAATGTGGTCTTTTTTATTATGTAGAATTTTGTTACACGTTTTTCTCTCATCCTGTTTAGGACCCTGTTATGATCCTGCTAGTGGGAGCACTGGTGGCCTAGCGTAAGGAGCTGTACTGCTAGCCCAAAGTCAGGCGGTTCAAACCCACCAGCTACTCTGCTGGAAAAGGATGGGAAATCTCCTCCTATGTAATTTAAAGCCTCTGAAAACCCGCTGGAGGGTTAGCCATGAGTTGATCCTGACTTGATGGTACATGACAACAACAACAAGAGGTAGCCAGGCATCATCTAGTTCTGATTTCAGGCTAACAAAAACTAGTAGCTTTTGGATTGTTTTCTTGAATCTTTTCTTCACTCTTTTTTTTGTTGTTGTTGCTGTTCTATTAATGATGACTATTTGGGATCTTTTATAATAGTGCTAGTCCCCTAAAAGGCACTCAGTACAAGGTTGCTTGCTTGTATCAGTCTTATTACTGAATTATGGAATTAGTGCAGGCCTTCAAACCCAAAACTTGAAGTTAGATTGGAAGTAGAAGACTTTGAGTGTTAATACAGAGAGTTAAAATGGAAACACCTTTCTCAATTTGGTGCTAAGTCAGGCATTAGTCAGCAGATGTCTCATTGCATGACAAGGCAGAATGTTTGTGGTCTTGCAACAAAGACATGTAATTTTATGGGCTCTTTGTACAGGCAGCTGCGAAGCAGGTTTGATGTCATCTGAGGCATATGTTTTCCCCACTCTCCCCTAAATTCTTGGAAAATATTCTCCAGTGAACAAACCAGAAGGACCTGGAAGAGGGCTGTCAAATTATGGAAACAAAGTCCCTGAGAATGTTAAATGCTGTTACAGTGATTCTTCTTGGCATTTAGCTAAAGAGGCCACTCTTGATTTCTAATTTGCTAGAACACTGGACTCTTTAGTTTTAGGTTAATGCACCTCTCTGATCCTTTAGGACCGTTCATTTTATGCACTAGTATACATCAGTTGAGAGAAGGTAGTGTATTGAAAGAGAACTGACTTCACTGAGGAGGTAATTTTTTTTTTTGTGAGTCTTGACCCTGGCACTCAAGTTGACCAACTCTCATCTTTTTATCAGCCCCTAGGTCCCCATCTTACCTACCATACAAGGTTGTTGTGAGAATCTAATCCTAACATTCATGTATGTGTACACACATACACAGCTATAGAAAAGCATTCTTGCTTGTAAACTGTGAAGTAAAATATGGCTAAAGTTTAATACACAATTTTGTTGCTAATGTGTTCTCCCCAGTGAACGCTGGCTAATATTTTTCCAGCTGTTCCATTTTCTCACAATGGAGGGATTTCTTTTTTCCACAGTTTGAAAAACCAAGTCCGGCAAATGCTAAATGACTCAGTGTGAGTCACACAGTTAACAGAAGAGCCAGAATTTGGCAACAAGCCCTCGATTTCCAGTTTGTAGTTTTTCTCCTCAATAAAATGGAAAACAAAAAACAAACAAACAAATAACATGGAAAACATCAACTGTGGGATTTGCTAGGGCACCTCTAAGTCACTACAGGACTCAAGTCTGAATTTGGGCATGATGGGGGGATTTAGCCTAAACTGTACGGCGCTCACTTAGAATGCTGTGCAAGACCCTTGGGTCCTCGTGGAAGGACAGGGCCGATGCAGCAGTTAATGAGAGACTTCAGTGGTCCCACCCTAGAGAGAATAGTGGTGTATTGTGAGCATTTTTTTCCCTTTCAAGTCTTCCCTCATCGATACAGCTTCAGCCAGCTTAGCTCCATTTCAGAAAAAGAGCTGTGGTGAAACAGTGTTAAATCCAAAATCCACTGCCCTCAATTGAGTTCCAACTCATGGTGATGTTCAATCAGGTTTCAAGGCTGTAAACTTTATAAGAGGAGACTGCCCATCTTTCTCCTTATAGCAGACAATGGATTTAAACTGCCAGAGAGGCACAATCTTTGGGTTAGTAGTGCAACTAACTCTACACTGCCAGAGCTCCCCAGACAGAAGGTTCACTGTCATGGAGTTAATTCTGACACATTTTTACAGGAGGAAGCTGCCTGTCTTTCTGTCTCAGAGCAGCTTATGGAATAATATCTGAATAGCCAGACTTTTGGCAGTACCACCTGGGACCTTGTTAGAAAACCACAATAGCTGACCCTCCCAGTGAGTTTACAGAAACTCTAATGTGCATGGAAGGAGTTTGTCCATCCTTCTACAGAGCAGCTATTGGGTTTGAACCCCCTGCCTTGCATTGATAGTGCAGCTCTTTACCCACTAGGCCATCAGAAAATTGTTAAGAGTTGCCAAGTTGGAACCAACTCATAGCTGACCCTATGGTGGGATTTCAGTGGAGATTGCCCATCTTTCTCCCTCAAAGCAGCTGGTGGATTGGAATAACATGCCTTTGATTGGCAGCATCTTTACAGCTATGCCACCAGAGTTCTTCAGGAACTTGTTAGAAATCCCAAATCTTAGTCCAGACTTTGAATCAGAAACCTTGAAAGTGGGGCTCAGAATCCTGTTTTAAGCCCTTAAGGTGATTCTGATGCATATACAAATATGAAAGCTGTTGTTATTGTTGTTATGTGCCGTCGAGTCGCTTGCAACTCATAGTGACCCTATGTACAACAGCCCTAAACTCTGCTCTGTCCTGTGCCAATCGCACTGTCTCCGATACACCCATCCCAATAACCCCGGTCACTGAATTAATCCACTTCATAGAGGTTCTTCCCCTCCTGCATTGTCCCTCCACCCTCTTAAAGACTGGTCCCTTCTTGCAACATGTCCAAAGTATTTAGACGGAGCCTTAGAATCCTTGCCTCGAAGGAGCAGCCCAGTTTGACCCTTTCTAGGATGAATTTGTTTTCCTAGCAGTCCATGGTACAGTCAATACTCTTCTCCAGTACCACAGCTCAAAGGCATCACTTCTCCTTCTATCCTCCTTAGTCATTGTCCAACTCTCTGATGCATAACAAGTGATAGCAAAGACCATGGCCTGTATCAGATGCACCTTAGTCTCCAGAGAGATACCATTGCTCTTCAGTACTTTGGAGAGGTCCCTAACAGCAGACTTTCCCATCGCAATAGGTCTTTTAATTTCCTGGCTACTGGTGCTGAGAGTGTTTACTGTGGAGCCAAGCAAACTGAAGCTGTGAACAATCTCAATCTCTTGACCATCCATCCTGATGCTGCCAATTTGGCCCAGTGGTGAGAATCTTTGTCTTCTTGACATTGAGCCTCAATGCATATTGGAGGCTGCAGTCCTTGACCCTCTGCAGCAAGTGCATGAGGTCCTCCTCAGTTTCAGCAAGCAGGGTTATATCATCTGCATATCGCAGATTGTTGATAGATCTTCTACCAATCTTAACCCCACATTTCTCCCCATTTCTCCCGGATAATCTGTTCTGCATACAGGTTGAAAAGGTATGGAGATAGGATGCATCCCTGGCATACACCCTTCCCAATTTTGCACCATGCAGTGTTTCCTTGCTCTGTTCTGACGACTGCCTCTTGGTCCCCATATATGTTTCTCATTAGCACGATCAAGAGTTCTGGGATTCCCGTTCTTCTCAGAGTCAGCCACAGTTTGTTATGATCCACACAGTCAAACGCCGTTGCATAGTCAATGTAACACGACATACATTCCTCTGGTATTCCCTGCTTTCAGCTAAGATCCATCTAACATCAGCTACAATATCCCTAGTACCACGACCCCTTCTAAACCCAGCCTGAACTTCTAGAAGTTCTCTGCTGATGTGTTGTTCCAGTCGTTTTTGGATAATCTTCAGTAGAATCTTGCTTGCATGTGAAATTAATAATACTGTTCTATAGTTTCCACACTCTGTTGGGTCACCCTTCTTTGGGATGGGAAAAAATATAGATCTCTTCCAGTCAGTTGGCCAAGTGGTTGTTCTCCAGATTTCTTGGCACAACTTCGTGAGCATGTCCAGGGCAGCATCTGTTAGTTGAAATATGTCAATTGATATACCATCTATTCCTGGGGCCTTATTTTTTGCTATTTCCATCAAAGCAGCTTCAACTTCTTCCTTCATCACCATAGGCTCTTGCTCATATGTTGTTTCATTAAATTCTTCTGTATCTGCTAGTTCTTTTCAATATAGTGACTCAGTATATTCTTTCCATCTTCTTTTAATACTTCCCGGATCATTTAATATTCTGCCTAAAGCATCCTTGATTATAGCAACTCTAGGTTTGAATTTGTTCTTCAGTTCCTTGAGCTTAAGAAATGCTTAAAATACAATCTTCCAAAAATAGGCTCAATTTCCATATTACTCCTTAAAAAATCAGCAATATTTGGTATCTAATGTTC